GTATCTTAGCATTTTGAGGGACCAAGATCATTTTGTAAGGCAACTTTGAATAGCGTCATTGAGGGACTATGATCTTATACTTGTTTGTGTTTGCCAAGATACTTTGCATGCGTAACATGGTCATTTTTATGTAAGGCGACCAAGTGGAGTAACCTTAAGGGTACTTGTGTGCAAGTGTGTTATTTTCATGCTTGATTTTGTCTTGGATTAGGGTTTTCTATTTGATTTGTTTTTATATTGCCATACAAACCCTAATTACTAGCATGGTATATAAAAGCGATAAATTGAGTAATTTAAAGATTACTACGCTATTACAACATTTTTATGGGAGGGGGAATACAAATTATGAATGGGGATTTGCAATAATGTAAATCTAATTAAACTATTACAACCGAATCGAATTTGTACGAATACTTAAATAAATAAAATATAATATAAATTAAATGTGCAATGGTATGTATATGCAAGAAAAGGTTTTTGTTTTGTTTTTTCATATAAAGTAGAGTTTTGAATTAAACCTAATAAATTAAAAAAGAAATTATTTGTATACATTGATTAACCCTAATTTTAGTTTATTAAAAGGGAATAAAGTTCTTTAAATATCATTTTTTTTTGTATTTTTGTCTTAAAATAATAAATAATATTTACGAAAATATTTGGTCTTTTTATATGTCAAAATAAATATTTACAAGTATGAAGAAAAAAGGATAAGAATATATCTAAGTCTAATTTATTTTACAAGTTTATTTAAGAAAAATAGTTAGTATACAATTTAATCAAAATAATTTTTATGTAAAAATAAAATAAAATAAATAAAAATGCAATATTTAACATATTTATATTTTTTCATGATTTTATAATACTTAAGAAAATATATTTGATAAAAAAATGGAAATAAAAATAAATAATAAAAAGATTGGGTCAGGGGTGCTGTAAGGAGAAAGAGAGGTAAGTGTTAGAAAAAAAATGAGAGGCCCATAAACTGAGCCCACGCTGCCAAAAATGTCAAAAATGAAGCTGAAAAATGTGAAAAATGCAAAAGATAACGCCAAGGTTCGAACCCACGACCTATGCATTTCCAGCGCGCTACCTTGTCACTGGGGTGGCTGTACATCCGTTAGCTTAAATGAAACAAGAAAAACATAACACATAATGCCTCATTGCCCTGTACTTTATCTTCTTCCTCAAGTTGGCCAGAACCTTTGTATCTTTCTCATTTCTCCATGAAAATGGAAACTTCCAACATGAAAATGATAGTGCTCTTTTCCATGATTTCAACCATGTAACTCATGTAAACTAACAGTCAATAATCAAAACTAATTTACAAGGCCCTAATTATAAACCTAATTTTTACAAAAATTTGAACTCTAAAATTCTCTATACACAATGTATATAAATGAAATCTATGAACATGGTTGGTTTTAGGACAAGGATATCTACATTTTATCTTCACAAATCGTGACCAATATATGCATGTATGAAGAGATAGAAGTTGGAGTTCTTACCTCTTTCAGCTGAGATCGTGAATGGAGTTTGAGTGAGTTTTATGAAGGCCTGAAGATTCTTTTAGCTTGCCCGAACCTCCCTGAGTATGTTCCAATCTTTATCTTGTCCTGAAAGTGCCTGAATCTCTATGACCAAGTCAACCTGCAAGCTTGAAAAACAAAAATGGCAGATGGAGAAGGAGGAGTTACAATAAAGGGATGATGGTCTGGAACACTTAGATATGAGGTAGGTTAAGTGTTTGAGTTATTAGAACTTGAAACGCACGAGTAAATTTCTGAATTGCTATGCTTGGTCTCAAACTGCAAGTTTTTGACAGGTTTTTGGTGATAGGGAGTTTTAGAGAGTTTCTGGCCTTGAGTAATCGTGTCTTTTGTTGTAATGTGTTTGGTTATAAGTATCAGGAAGGTTTCTAATCCACTCCACAACAGATTTCTCAGTTATAGGCTTTTTGCACTCTTACTTGCTTTTTAAGAAAGGTGAAGAGACCACTCTCTACATGCTTGTACAGGTCTGCTTGGAGTTGGTACAAGTCCTAGACAACTTGCTTTTGGTTTATAGGACTTGTGTTTACAGAGAAAACGGGTCCAATGCTCAAGAAGTGAAAAGTTGCAAAAGTCATGCTTTTCTAAAATGGCAATGGCAACTTTGTGCCATTTATGGAATTAAAGCTTGGACAAAGACTCTTGTGCTTGGATTAAGGATTTATCATTTGTGTAAGCATTAAATTATGAATTGAGAAACAAGTTTGAGACCTGTAAAGCAAGGATTAGCAGCATAGGTTCAGATTTGAATTTTGTTCTTCATGGAATGGCTTGAAATCAAAGTGAGAAATTGCCAACTTCCTCTCTTCGATTCTCCCTACTCAAAAATGATCTTAAGGAGTTCTTGGATATTTTGGAAAGCTTTCAATGTTCTATATAACTCATCTTTGAAATGCATTTCAATATTCCTCTTGGAACTAGGTGAAAAATTTTCATGAAGTTAGGTCAAAAACCTGCCTAAATTAGGGCAAAATTTCACTAAGTTATTTTAGTTCATGGACATGTATTCACAAAATTATATCTTGAGATCCAAGCATCTTTAAGGAAAAATGTGTGAAGAAAAGTTGTATATTTCATGGAGATCTACAACTTTAATATTGGGAACTTTCTTTGAATCATCTTGTATAATGGTGAAAATTTGGCTTAAAGTTGAGAAAAAATAAGAAATTTTCTATACTTAGAAAAATTTCTAAGTTAAGAAAATTTCAAATTTCAAAACCAAATCTTCAATCTTTGATTTTTTTGATGAACAAGTTTCACATTTTGACATGTTTTGATGAATTTTAATCCTTGCCACTTGATTTTGACCAAAAAGTCAAAGTTTGACTTTTCAGTATACAGTTGACTTTTGATAAGTTGACTGCAGATTTCATCTGTCAACTCAATGAAATTGCAATGTTTTGAACCATATTATTAGGTCAAGATGATACAATTGAACCCTTGAAATCATGCTTCAAATCAATTGGTCATTTGCTAGGTCAAAAATTAGAAATTGCCCTTTCTCAGTCAAAACCCTAATTTTGACCATTTTGCCCTTTTGATGATTTGATCAAATTTCTTGAGGAATTGTGGTCCAAACTTGATCAAATGATACATATGAGTCTAAAATGTTGATGTGGATCAAAAATTATGAAGTTGGACTGTAAATTGGCCATGGTTGACTTTTTCCTCAATACAGCTGATTTTTAGGTCAACTATCCAATTGATTGATCAAAATGTGATTCAAGGCTTGAAATTTGTCATGAGTAATCTTAGGGGTCCATATGATGTTTGAAAGTCATATGAAGCATTGATAGTCCAAAACCTTTGTGCAATCTCAAACCCTAATTTTGGGTGATCAATACATGATGAGATGTCTTGAGTTGGTCAAACCTTAATCCAGTCTTGAGTCAAAGAGATCTTGTGAGAAAAATCTTGATAAATGAGAGGGAAATTTTTGGGGTACAACAGCCACCACCAAGTAGTTAAAAACACATATCTCAAAAGTAATAAAGGATAAGTGAACACCCAGGGTTTAGAAGAGTCACTTGAAAAGGGGAATGGTGTAGCTGTTGTACTCGATACATATTCTATTATCCTCAATAGGAATGGTGGAACTCCAATATAATGATTCCCCCACTTTGAGAAAATCCTTATTTAAGCTACCCTCCTTGGTAAAAATACACACAGTGGAAGAGTATATGGAACCTTCCCATAGAGATGTTGGATTCGTCTAGTTCCCTTTCACGTTCTTCCGTGATTTTTTAGCCATATTACGCTAACGCTCTCAAGTACATGAAGATAAAATGTAAAACGGGAAACAAGTTTATGTTTAAGAAAGAGGAGAAAAGAAATGTCTAAAATAAAATGACTTTAATTCTTCCTAGACTTATGTTTTGATAATATAAAAAGAAAAATGTCTTATCGACAATCATGTCCCTCGCACATAACACTCAAGTGCTTCAGTTCTCAAGAATGTTAATAATGACGCCCCTAAATAAACATTTTACGTTCTAAATAGTAGAAACACAAAGTAAGGTAATTGGAAGTTGCAGCTTCCACAATTATTTTTATTTCTAATTTCATTATAGAACAATAAATAACACTTTTTCTCTATTCTTCATTTATTTCTCACAATTTTTATCTTTTTATCTTTTCTTACACTTTCGTTTATCTATTTTTCTCTTACAAATTTTCTTTAAATAGTTAAACTAAATAAAAAAATCTTTTACAAACTACTATAGACTTTAAGCGGCGGGTTTTTAATTTTTCAATAATTTCCTAATTAATGTCAGATTTTTAAACTAAATAACGTCGTCACAGATAATTGGCGCAAGCTGGAGAGCGATCCTCTAATTAGTAAATTAGAGTCTTGTGGAGAACATATGTTAACCTGGAGTAAAGTCAATTGTGATAAAGTAAGGAAGGAAATCTGAATTATTTCAAAGCCCTCAAAAATCGGTTAAATTCACTTCTAATCAAAGATGACTTATTTTAGAAGTAAATTCACTTCTAATCAAAGATGACTTATTTTGGAAGCAAAGACCTAAACACATTGGTTCAAGGATTGAGATCTCAACACCCGCTTTTTTCATATTACAGCTATTACCTAGAGGAAGGTTAACACCATCAAATATCTTACCAATAGTAACAGGGAAATTAAATCAACGTCGGAGGAGATGTGTAATATTGTGCACGACTATTTTTCCGAACTTTTTCAGAAGAAGCCAAGTTGTCGTGAAGAGTTTTACAAGTCATTAGTACCTCAATTTTCGATGATGACAATAATATGTTGATAGCACCCTTTATTTTCGAGGAGTTCAAAGAAGCTATATTTTCCATGAACGGTGATAAGAGTCCTAGGACCCGACAATTACAATCCTAATTTTTATCAATATTTTTGGGATTTATGTAGTATGGAGATTTATCATGCGAGTTGTTTGCGGCTAGAAAGTGGAAGCTGTTCAAACTTCTATGAAAGATTGGAGACCTATTGCATTATGTAATTTGCTTTATAAGGTGGTCGTAAAAGTTTTGGAAAATCGACTTAAGAAAGTCTTATTCAAGTGCATCTTTGATAATTAATCAACGTTTGTTCCTGTGAGATCTATTCTGGATAACGTAATGGCAGGCTATAACAGGTGTTCACTTTATGCAGTCCAAAACAAAAGGTAAGGTTGGTGAGATAACGCTTAAACTGGATATCAGTAAAGCATATTACAAGATTGACCGGGATTATCTGAAGGATATGCTCACAACTATAGGATTTAATCAAAAGTGGGTAGGGTGGAGCATGCTTCGTGTGAAAACAGTGGATTACTCTATTCGTCTGAATGGTAATACAGCCGGTCATATTAATCCTGGCAGGGCTACATATGGAAATGTAACTCCTCAATCTCTACCAGTGTAGTGTCTAATAATAAGTGGTTAATTCCCTAATACTATATGAAAATCACAATTTCACATTAAACCAAAACTCCTTGAAAACACTAAACACCAAATTCCACCCGGGTCACTGAATTCGAGTATAGAAACAAAACAGAAAGACAACAAGAAATAACCAATAACAGGAGATCCCAACCACAGCTATATCTTCCACATTTGATCAACCTCACTTCACATTGAGCACTCAGTCAAACATAAACGCGTGTGAATTGATGAGTTAGTGAATTGAATTTGTTGGGATAGTTAGTTTGCGAGCAGCTTTAAAACATCATATTACAGAACATCATATAGTCACAACGTCAATTAGTAATGAAATAAACCATATTACAAAACAAGTAGATTCAATTACTGAACAAACACATAGCAGCAGATTGTTGCATTACTTCGAGATTCATAACAGATGAACCAAACCCTAGTAGCATAAAAACTAAAATCTAAGCCCTCTCGCCTCTGATTCTGCGAGCAAGTTGAATATCCTTGGGCATAATGGTAACTCTCTTGGCGTGAATCGCACAAAGATTAGTGTCTTCGAACAAACCAACGAGATATGATTCAGCGGCTTCTTGAAGAGCGGAAACGGCGCTGCTTTGGAATCGGAGATCTGTTTTGAAATCCTGAGCGATTTCACGAACAAGTCTTTGGAATGGAAGTTTCCGGATGAGAAGCTCAGTGCTCTTCTGATACTTTCTGATCTCTCTCAAAGCAACGGTTCCTGGACGGAATCTGTGTGGCTTCTTGACGCCACCGGTGGCGGGAGCAGATTTGCGAGCGGCTTTGGTTGCCAGTTGCTTCCTTGGGGCTTTTCCTCCGGTGGACTTGCGAGCGGTTTGCTTGGTACGTGCCATTGAGAGTGGAGAAAGAAAAACAAATATGTGTATGTATGTTAATTGAGTTGTGATTGATGACAAGGATGGAGGTGTTTGGGTAATATATATTGGAGGAGAAATGAGGGAAGAGCGGGAATTGGAAATAGAAAATAGAAAAATGGGAGAGATGGTGATCGTTGATTAGAGTGTCTATCTACGGTTGAATGTCTCTGAGAAAGGGTAATGGGATCGCGATCCGTGGCAATTGAAACCAACCAATAGAATTACTTCTTAACATTCTTTTCGTACTCTATTTATTTTCTTGCCTTACATTTCAATCTAAAAGTTGGACAACTCATTAATGAGTAAGACTAATAAACCAAAATTAATTGAATGTTTGGTGTTGTGTGGCTAATACTACCTATTGTAGTAGGTTATTTTAGATTGTTTTGCTAATATTAAAAAGTGTATTTAATTGTATGAAGAGAAATTTAACAACAATTTTCATTTAAAAAATCTAAAATTCAACTCAAGATTCTTTAAACCTTCAAACAAAATTATAATAGACTTATCTCTGCGTTTTAATATAGTTATATCGAATGTTTCACGCGTTTTATTCAGTTGCAAGTTTTAGTATAGGTTAGTATAGAATATAAATTTGGTTTACATAGAAGTAGTAGTGTAATGGTGTCTTTCTAAACATCACTATTTATATCTTTTAATTTTTAACGTCTTTTTTCTAATCTTACACGACTTTAGCTAGAAACTCTTTAAATTAATACTCAGTAAATTAATAAACTCTTTAAAATAATAAATTTGTCTGGTCCCGACTTGAAACAATGTAAAAAATTGAAAAACTCGATAAAATAATAAGATAATAATTTTTTGGGAGATCCCTTTATAATTTTCGATCCCAAGAAAATCATAAATTAATAATTCATAGAAACTGAAGAAAAAATATATATTACACTCTATTGAAATATGATTCAATAGTTGTTTGTTTTCCTTTAAAGTTCAAGTCTATTTGGAGCTCATGTCTAACTTTTCTTATTGCATCCAATAGCTCAGGTGTTATATTTTTGTAGTGTATCATAAAGTTGTGAAGAGTGTTCGATGCCATAAGTGTTTCCTTTCGTGTAACAATCTCCAAAGACATTGTATCATCTTCGTCGTCATCCTTTGTATTGTTCTCAATGATAGTCCCACAATATCTTCTAAACTTTGAACCTCCGAACATGCTTCATTTTCACCTGGATAGTTCATTAGATTGTCGATATCCATCTTATTGCGATAGCCACATTGATTGATCATAGTCTCGAGGTCTTGAGTTTCTTCATCAAAAGTGGATTCATCCAAATTTCTTGCAACGTCCCTAGTTGATCGAATTTTACAGTGTCGGAAGCAATTCGCTATTGTATCTTTTCGAACATTTATCGTTCAAGCTGGGATTGTCAAATTGATAGCATCAAGGACATTTATCTTCCCTGGATCATATTTGTCCAACCTCATAACCTTCCAATATTTTGCAGTAAAACCTTCTACGGTAATACATCTTGAAAGCTCTTATTATCCCAGCATCGCAAGGTTGTATCTTTGATGTCATGTTGGGTGTCAAGAAGAATAACTCAATGTTTCTTAGCCCTTCAATATTTATTGGATGTGCTGGAAAATTATCCACCACAAGTAGAACTCTTCTACCATGCATCATTTGGTCAAATGAACGAACATATTCATCAAAAATCACACTAGTCATCCATGCTTTTTTGTTAGCTCGATACTGACAATCCAGGCTATTTATGTTGACATTCTTGAAGCAACGAGGCTTTGAATATTTCCCAATAATCCATATAGGGATTTTTTTAGAGCCATCTTCATTGCAACAAATAACTATCGTCAGCCTTTCTTTATCTTATTTTCTTCCTTCAAGTTGTTTTGTTGCCAGTGAATGATCAGCTTGTAGCCTATAAAACAACCTAGTTTCATCCATATTGAAAACATCTTTCATAGGGAACTAATCAATTTTCTCCCGAATCGATACCAATTTCTGCTTCATGTCTTGTACATCAATAGACTCACTCTCGCCAAAATGATGAAATGAATTTATACCATGTCGGTGCTTGAATTTCCCAAGCCAGCCTATAGAGAAGTTAAAATATGAATCCTTATAAGGGTACACGAGTTTCATTGTATCTCTTGTCTTCTGCAAAATTAATTCTCCTGTGATATTCAACTGTTCTTGATGATGGAGAAACCACTCATAAACAACCTTCCCCACAACGCAACAATCAACAAAGAATGGAGAGACTGCAGAGACAGTACACTCAGCTCAATATGATCTTGTCTCAAATTCTACCATAATTATTAAAGACCAACCTGGTAACTCTAAAGGAAGCCCTGAAGAATCCCATCACCACATCTCCGCTATATATAATTTGAATGCCCGCTGCGCCTATCACTCTGATAGCCCGGGTCATGATACGAACAATTGTTGGGCCTTGAAGAATAAGGTACAAGATTTGATCGAAGCTAAAGAAATTGTGTTTGACGCTCCAGAGAAGAGTTGATTGGTACCACTGGAATTGATTTATCATGCGGGCAATGGATTCTGGAAAATCACAGGGGCTATACCTACAGAGAACGTCTGTAGGTAAAAGTCGTTTTACCTAAAACGACGGACAAGGGTAGACGACGACTGCGTGGCAACACACCATTCGTCCATTTGAATTTCGGCGTGTTTGTTTGATAGCTGGCATTTTTTCATTATATTATTATTATTTCATATACTAACAAGTAAATTCAAGTGGCCCAGTGGTAGCCAAGGAAGGCGTTAAGGCTTTGCAGGCATGAGGTCAGGGGTTCGACCCCTGCCTCCAACATTTGCAATTTTTCTCAATTCCTCTTTACAGATCTTGTACCCCACGCGTCATGAAGCCTACCATATGCCATCAATGTTCAATCACCAGATCTCCAGAATGCCAAATCTAACGCCTATTCATTGGAGGTCCATGATGCACCTTGGTCAAGCAATGCACAAGATCATGAAAGTCAAACGTGGACCAAGGCTTATTGGGCTTGAAAGTCAGATTGACACCTCCCTTTCTACTTTGACACCAGGCCCAATTCTCTCTTCTTTTCTTTTATATATTTTCTTTTATTTAATTATTTTGATTAATTTATTTTCTCACACAAATTTAATTCTTTTCTTACAAAAAAACTCATAAAATCAATTTTTCATCAAATTAGATTTAGGTTTATTTTTATCAAATTTAATTTAATTAGTTTATTTAATTTTAGGGTAATTTTAACTTTTTTTTTGTAAATAAATTAAAATCAATTAGAAAATTAGGATTTGATTGATTTAATTTTTATTTTATTTTCTTAAAATAACCAAAAATATAAAAATAGGTCAAATAAATTATTTTTCTTAATTTAAATTAATTGGTAATTAGGTTTGTACTTATTTAATTAAAACCTCATTTTCTTAAAATAATCAAAAACAACCAAAAAATAATTTTTCTTTCAATTAGGTTTAGACGGGGTCAAAACCCTAATTTTCTCTCCTCCTCGATTCATCGCGCGTTTATTTATTTTTTACAATATTAATGTAACTGCTCATGATATGTAATAGTTTAATTAGGACTTTTCTTTTATTTATCATTTTACGGGTTTTTGGCTATGTAATTAACCCCCCTTCCCGAAGCCTTGTAATAACGTTGTTTTATTTCTCGCATTTTAATTTTCGCAAATATTAACTGTTAGATGTATGATAATAGGATTGCATGACAAGAATGTATGTTAATTTTAAAATGGTTAGCAAACCCTAAATGTGCAAAGATAATAACTAAAATCAAATCACTCGCACATGCGCACTCCTAGGGTATACTCTCACTTTGGTTGCCTTCGGTAAACGATCATTAAGTATAGGGTGTTTTAGTGGTCGCTCTCTTCTCTAAACAAAGATCAAATGTCCCGTTCAGAAATGTTGCCTCAGAAATGTTGTCTCAGAAATGTTGCCTCGAATATGATCTTAAGACACTAGGGTTATTACTAAGACGTCCTAACATTGCTTTAGTGATTGTACGTCCCTTTCGAATTGACCCTTACAACTCCAACAACGGTGCTACCTACTCACTAATAGTGGGATAATGCTGTCTAAAGG